AGTACAGTAACAAAGTATTTGTACTTCGTTACTTCCCATCTCTGGAAATAAGTTTATTTATCCTTAATTTGAGTAAGATAATAAGATGATCTGCCAATGGAAAGAGTATTTTTACTCTTAAATTAAGATAATTAGATAAAATGCACTTGAAATAAGAGACAGAAATTGCTTTTTCTTATTTTAAATGTAAATTATCTTGTTCCTTACACACTCAGCTGCTTAATTCAAGAAAAATGCCCTTATTATAAGAAAAAAATGACAGATTTCCATTTTTTGCTGTGCAGAAATATTATTAACCCAAACTAAACAGCATTTGGTGTGAAATTGACCCAAATCAATTTTTTCTCAGCAGTTTGTCACCATAAAAGGCAACAGCGGCAGCTTCAGATCCATTAATAACGATCACTGCTGATATGTGATCTTTTCGGCCTAGATCCAAAACAGAAAGCCGAGGAGGAACACGCATGCTGTGGTGTCTTTGAAATAAAGAGTCAGTAGGGTGGGTGTGGTCGGGCGTAGCGGCGTCTCTGCCGCATGGCTGGAGACGAACCTCCGGATGAGAAGAAGCAGCCTGCAGCTAGTCGGTTATCTGTGGATGCAGCCGTTTCCCTGCTGCTGCTTCACCGTCAGATGGAGGAAACTGCAGCGGATTAATGAGCTGATTTAAATTATGTTCATGCACAGAAATAATGGGCGTCTGTAGAATAATCAGTCTATGATCTGTTCTGAAGAATGAATTTCCAGTGAGAGATCTCACTTACAGATTTAATGAAACTGGAACATTTGTTAAAATAGGATTTAATCCATTAATCAAATTAATTACACATCATCTAAGATACTGTTTCTCATTAATAGTATTGATTTATAATAGTAAAGGAAGCACAAACAACATAAAGCAAGATTTCTGACAATCTTTATACGCTGCTTTGGTTACCATGTCGACTGGTTCTCTGATAAAAGATCCAACTTTTATAAACATGTTCTGGCTTTTTCTGAGGAAGCTTTAACTGCCTGCAGTGTTCTAGGTGCTAAAACCCAATGGGGGCGGTACTGGACCGTACCGAGTCGGTTAGACCCAGAGAGCGCCTCTAAAACCAAACACACTCACAGCACTATGACAGACAAGACAGCGAGGATGAAGAGTCTGGATTTAATGGAAATTATAAACAATGTTTTCCTCCAACCAGGCTGCAGTCAGTAAAACCTTCACTGATTGGTTTATGCTCTGTTAAACAGTGACCAGAGTTTAACCTTTTTCTACTTTTTTGTGTTTCACAAACCTGATCGCTCAAGGCTGTGTCTGCAAGCTGAACATTTCACCTGCTCATATGTTGCTGGTTGTTTGACTGGAGGAAAAGTTAATGTTGCGTCATCACCAGGCTTATAGCTAGGAATATTTCATAGGATGTGCACCTCGGTGCATCACAACTGTAGGCCTTGCACGGCAGGCGCAAGCATTGTAGACAGGCCAACTGATGGCTTCGCTACGGCCTGGGACAACAGCCTTTTTACATCACCGTCAGTGGATGAACTAACCAAGAAAATCCATATATACCCAGATGTATCCTACAGTATAGTATGTAGCCTAACATTAGGCTATCTATCTTGGATTGACTTGAAGATATAGACCGAGGTAGCCATTGACATTGTGTCTAATGTTAGAAAATAGAAAACATTTCACTGCGAAATGTAAATGTAGTAATTCTTTATTAAGTGAAAGACGCTGTCGTTTTTGTAGTGTTTGTTGTATTTCTTATTTGAAAAAATTATGCTGAAATAAATTGCATGTTATATTGAGGAAAGAAAAAAGCAACTCAAACATTTTTAAAGGCTAATGCACAGACACATGGAGGACCAATTCTGCCATATTTAAAAATAAATACATAAATAAATAAATGCTCAATAAATAAATAAGCATACAATTAATTGCCACCAAAAAATACAAAAAACAAATAAATGTAAGTAGAAATTAAATTACACAGTGAGACATAAATGTATATAAAGTTGACTCTCTAAGACACGCCCCCTCCTCATTTGCATAATGAGGCAGAAACGCAGACAGAAATGTAAAAAGGGCAAGCAGAAACAAATGGCAGCGAAGAAATAACTAGGGTAAAAATATATAAAGGAAAAATAAAACACAACAATATTATAACATGCACATAAATAAATACCTAAAAATATAAGTCATTAAAAAATAAAGTTGAAGATCATAAAGGACAAAAAAAATAAAGAAGGCAAATAAATAAAGAAGCTAATTAAAAGAGTTATATACATTTATGTCTCACTGTATAATTTAATTTCTACTTACATTTATTTGTTTATTTTATTTTTGGTGGCAATTAATTGTATGCTTATTTATTTATTGAGCATTTATTTATTTCTGTATTTATTGTTAAATATGGCAGAGTCGGTCCTCCATACAGACACAGCGTAAAACTGAATGGCATCAGTCACACACATAGAAAAATACGTATAAATCAGTCCTGATATAAAATCTTGAAATTATATGTAATTCCCATAACATTGTAATAGATACATGTATATTACATGTACATCATCAGTTTAGCACTTTTGGCATCTCTGTATTTTTATTCTCCAATTAATTCTGTTGTGATGGATTTGTATAATATGTTATATTACATGATTTATAGACTTCACAATGACTATGCTTTGTTATAAGTTTAAGTAGTTTACTTATGTTATAAAACAGCACGTGTGACAAAGTGATGAAATTATCTTTATTTTAAAAGTCTTAAGTCCCCCTGAAAATGAGAAAATCATCTGTGTTCGATGCTGTAGCGCATATATTGTTTACATTGTGACCGGTCTAACTAGGGAGTATCAATATGGCGGCCAGTGGCTTCACTCCACCTCATAATACCAATGAGCTATCAGCAATCCAATGAATAGAGATCAGTGGTTGGAACCAATATCAGGTGTGCCCACTGCTGGCAGATTTAAACCTAGTATTTGAAGGACATCTGTGCTGGATTCATGCATTCAGTCAGATTCCAGTCCTTCCTGTTTCAGTGGCAACTTAACGACTCATCCATCTGATTCAGGTGGGTTGAACCAGAAAGTCTTCTGGTCCTTGAGGACTGAGTTCAGACACTGGTGCTCTGAGTGGGGGATGTCCAGGGGGGGGTAACTAAATTAATCTCTGATGAAACCTGTGGAGTAGATCCCACTTTTTCTCATTTGATTGGACAAAAACCTTCTTGCTCTCTCTGTTTTTGTCTCAGTCAGAACACAAAGCTAAACTCCTCACCAGAGGAGATGTCGCAAGATCAACCAATCAGATACAGGCTTAAGGAAATATTCTGAATAACGAATAAGAACAAAATCTGCTGAATCAAGATGGAGAATACATGCAGCCCAGCAGCTTGTGATCCTTCCTATAAAGTGATCATTTGAAGTGAAGAGACAATCTTGGAGTATAACGCTGTAGATGGATAACACTGATTGTTAAATGTGTTAAATGTCAGATTTGCAGCATAGTCAGTCTATTATGTTTTATTTTACTGCTTTTATCTTCCTATTTGCTCCAAATGTAGCCTTGAAATAATCTTAAAGTTTGAGCCATTCTATTTGATTTTTCTGAAGTATTGAGTATCTGGTGGTTTCAAGTACCTTTGTGTCTAAGGTATGAATATTAGATTTGTTTTTTTTATTCATCTTTTTTGACTCATCTCACCGTAAACAAATGATTGGTTGGTTGTACGATTGTTCAACTATCTTTTCTTCTCACCTTGCAGGTACCTGCGGCTATCGCTAAGTGCCAGCGTGCAGGAATCACTGTGCGTATGGTGACTGGAGACAACATCAACACTGCCCGCGCCATCGCCACCAAGTGCGGCATCCTTCTGCCAGGAGAGGACTTCATTTGTCTGGAGGGCAAAGAGTTCAACCAGCAGATCCGAAACGACAAAGGAGAGGTCAGAAGAAAACAGATGCTCAGAAACATTAGAGAGAGCGAAAAACCTTCACACAGAGCGACAGATTGAAGTTCTGTTCAGGTGTTTAGGTTCTCATCCTGTCCCTGGGTCACAGCAACCTGAAGTAAAATGATCGGTTTTATATTTTCACAAAAGTTTGTAAACTGAAGGTTTATCAGAACAAATCTGGATGGTTTTCAAACAAAGCAAAAATAATTTCTTCTGCCGTTGAAAAGAATCTCATCTTAACCCTTTATAGGGCACTCAGTGAAATCCTTTGAAAAATATAAATTTCAAGCCAAAAGTGTTTTTGGAATTCAGGACAAGACCTTATCACCTTTGTAACATTAAAAAATATGGATATTTTGATGGCAAAAATGAATCTCTATGTAATAACAAACGCCAACTTTCCTGAACATATTAAGAAACATAAAAGTGTTTAGAAAAGAAATTTTTTAGATGACTGTGAGGAGAATCTATAAGAAAATCGGAATTGATTCACAGAATCGATAAGAGAACCGAATCGTTTCACAGAATCGTATCGTTTCACAGAATCGTTTCACAGAATCGTATCGTTTCACAGAATCGTTTAGAGAATCGAATCGTTTCACAGAATCGT